TATATACACACACACACATTTTTAAATATATATATATTTAAATATATCTTTATTGATTTCAGAGAGAGGAAGGGAGGGGGAGAGAGATCAATGATGAGAGAGTCATTGATTGGCTGCAAGCCCGCAACCCGGGCATGTGCCCTGACCGGGAATAGAACCCCGATCGCCTGGATCCTAGGTTGATGCTCAAGCACTGAGCCACGCCTAGCCAGGCTCAAAATTGATATTTCTATGAAATACAGAGCCATGGGTTGACCCAGAAATTCCACTTCTAAAAATTCAATTACAGGTTTACATGCAAAATGACTTATATACAAGATTATTCACTGAAGCACTGTTTAAAATAATAAGATAGGACCACGCTTAATATCCACGACTAAGGTATAGGTTAAATTAATAAAAAAAATAATTGAACAGATACTTATAGAACATTCTTTGGGGGTGAAGGTGAGGAAGGGCTCTCTTTTTGTAGCCAAAAGGGCACATAATTAAAAATAGGCATCAGAATAAAGAAGAGGTAATACTTCTATGAGGCCATTGTTACTCAGATTCCCAAACCAGACCAATCTCTCTTGAATGTAGATGCGAAATCATCAATAAAATACTAGCAATTCAAATCTAGAAACATACAAAAATAATTATACACCACAACCAAGTGGGATTTACCCCAGGAATGCAAGGTTGGTTTAACATCTGGTAATCAATCAATGCAGTACACTGCATCAGGAATAAAAACCAAAAGCTTCCATAATCATCTCAGCTGATACAGAAAGAGCAGTTGACAAAACCCAACACACTTTCTTGATTAAAAAACATTCAACATATTAGGAATAGTAGGGGACTTCCTCAACTTCACAAAGAGTGTTTATTTATGAAAAACCTACTCCTAACATCTTACTAAATGATGAAAAACTAAAAGCTTTCCCCCTGAAATCAGGAACAAGACAAAGATGCCCACTTTTACCACTTCCATTCAAAACTGTATTGGGAGTTCTAGCCAGAGCAATTAGGCAAGAAAAGGAAATAACAGGCATCCAAAGTGGATAGAAAGAAAACTTTCTATTCACAAATAAGGTGATCTTATATAAAGAAAAATCATAAATAATCCACAAGAAAACTACTGGAGCTAACATGAATTTAGTAAAATTGAAGGTAGAGCACACACAAAAATTAGTTATATCTTTATGCATTATCAATGGTGATCAAGAAATGAGATTAATTATAAAAATCAATGTTTCATAATATTTTTAAAATAGGAGGATATGTAAGGTTTGCTCTCCCAGACCTCAAAATAAATAAATTTTAAAAAAAGAATAAACATCAAAAACATTTTTGGAAAGGAAGAATGTGATCCAATTCAAGATAAAAGAAGTGATAGCTGGAGGGAAATTTTAAGAAAAATATTTACAAATTCATGGAAAACAACATAAGCAAAAAAGCTGAACTGCAAAACTTCAATTGCCTAGTCTTGCTTAACTCCTAGAAGAAAGTTTTCATTAAGAACCCTCTCAGCAATAAAGCACCAACAAATAAATATAATCACAGCTTAATGTTACCCACGGTCTTGATATTAAAAAAAACAAAACTTTACAGAATATTTAAGTTGAAAAAGTAGGCAGATATGATATATCCTGGAAATAAATGGTTTGCCAATTTAAAAAATTAAATTTAGAAAACAATTCTGCTGGGTGAAAAAGGTGAGGGGATTAAGAAGTACTAATTGTTAGTCACAAAATAGTCAAGGGGATGTACAGTACAGCATAGGGAATATAGTCAATAGTATTATAACTATGCGCAGTGCCAGGTGGGTACTTAAATATCAGGGGAAAGGAACACTGTGTAAAGTATATGTCTGACCACTATGCGGTACACCTGAAACTGATACAAAATAATATTGAATGTAAACTGTAATTGAAAAATTAAATAAAAAACAATCCTATTTATAAGAGCATCAAAAAGAAAAACTACTTAGGAATAAACTGACCCAGGAAGGTGTGTGATTGTACACTGAAAACTATAAAATGTTGCTGAAAGAAATTAAAGAGAGCCTAAGTTAGACAGAATGCCATTTCATGTTTATGGACTGGAAGACTTAAAATTGTTAAGATGACAGTACTCCCAAGCAACCTGCAGATTCAATGTAATCCTGATCAAAATGGAAAAGCTGATCCTAAAATTTATATTTGAAATTGCAAGAGACCCAGAATAGCCAAAACAATCTTACAAGCGAGAAAAACAAAGTTGGAAGACAAATACTTCCCAATTCAAAACTTACAAAGCCATAGTAACCATAGTGCTGGCCTAAGGAGAGACATACAGATTGACAGAACAGAACTGAGAGACCAGAAACACACTCATATATCTAGAATTAACTGATTTTTCACAAGGATGCTAAGACTATTTAATAGTGAAAGAATAGTTTTTTTTCAATAAATGATGCTGGGACAACTAGATATCCACACATGAAAGAATAAAGTTGGACCCTACATCAGATAATATGCAAAACTAACTCAAATGGATCAAAGGCCTAAAACTTAGAAGAAAATGTAGGTGGCCATGGGAAGTGACTGCTCGATGGGCATGAGGTTTCCATTTGGGGTGATGAAAAAGTCTGGAACCAGATAGTGGTAATGACTGCATACCACTGTGAATATACAAAATGTCATTGAATTGTACACTTTATAATGGCTAAGTTTATGGTAAGTGAATTTTACAACAAAAAAAATTACTTGCATTTCTATACACTTACAATAAACAACTTGGGTATGAAATTTAAAAAAACAACTCCATTTATAATAGCATCAAAAGTAATAAAAAATTTAGAAATAAATTTTTAAAAATGCAAAACTTATACTTGAAAACTACAAAATATTGTTGAAAAACATTTAAAAAGATTTGAATAAATGAAAAGACATCCCATGTTCATGGGCGAGAAGATTTAATATTGTTAAGATGGCAATACCCACAAATTAATCTATGGAGTCAATGCAATCTCGATCAGAATCCTTACTGGCTTCTTCATAGAAATGGACAAGCTGATCTTAAAATTCAAATGGAAACTCGGGGGACTCCAAAGAGTCAAAACAATCTTGGGAAAGGAGAACTAAGTTGGAAGACTTTCACTTCCTGATTTTTGAAGTTATTAAAAGCAGTAGTAATCGAGGCAAAGTTAAACAGTTATCAACTGACTCAGCAATTTTATTCCTATGTACATACACAAGAGAAAGGAAAACATATAGCCACAAAAACTTGTATAGTAGATTATTCATAATAGCCAAAGGTAGAAACAACCCAAATGTCCATCAACTGATGGATACAAAATGTCGTATGTCTGCACAATGGACTATTATTTAGCCATAATAAGGAATAAAGTTCTGTTACATGCTAAACAGGGATAAGGTTTGACATATGAAGCACTCCAAAACCAAAAAAAGCTCAGGAAATGTACAATAGCACTATAGTTCAAAAGAAATCAAAACTCTTCAGTGAAATACAGTATTAAGGAATCTAACAGTTCATTCACTCAATTATTCTATAAAATAGCACCCCAAATTTAGTCACTAAAATTTCCCAAACAACTGCAAAAAGAAGTCTTCAGAGGCTATAAATGTATATCATATTATATGATTATTAAAGCAACAGCTAGTGTCAAGCAGCAAAATGGCCTGAGTGAAAGAGCATGACACCTTACAATATAATATATACAAATACTCTGATTAGAATATATAGTAAATAGGCTAATTTTATTTTGCCTTAGTTTCTTCAACAACTTAAAACTTACAAATGGGATCTGTTACTGGAATTTAAAGGAAAGGACCTACACCTTTCTTTCTAATGCCTGAGGCAAATCGGTCAATACCTGAGCTGCGGAGCTGTCGGAGCCACCTTGGTGCACGTCGTCAGGAGCACCACCAGAGCCATAAGCAGTCAGTGAAACACTCCCTCCCAGAAATTCATCCCCTCGAACTGAATGGATGAGGTCATTCAAATATTTATAATAAAGGTTGCTAGACAGAAAGCCAGGCAAAAACACCTGAAAGAGAGGACAAGAATTATTTTAAAGCTGAAGTCCAATACAACTAAAACTTTATTTTAAAACAAAATTTTACAAATGACTTTACTTCTCCTTTTTATGCTCCATGTAATATCCCTTTATACACAGTTTACACTATAACTATAATTACAACATGTACAATTTTTAGGTGTCCCCACCCACAAAAAAACCACTTTGCCATGAAACTATTACATAAACTTGATATTTAGACTTCTTGGTGACCAGAAAACAGTCTAGGGAGTGGATATATATTGTAACTAGATTTATATTAAAGTCTTTGCGCATACATTGATTTTTCCTTTTGAACTGATTTCCTTGTAAGTTACTAGGAGTTTGATTACTGAGTTAAATAGTATGAACATTTTAGCTTTAATATATATGAGCAATTTACCCTTCAGAAGGATGCTATCTGTCCCACTAATACTTCAAGGTATCTGTTTTTTATGTGTTTTTTTAAATTGCTTTTCAGAGAGAGAAGAAGGGAGAGGGAGAGAGAGAGAAACATCGATGTGAGAGAGAAACACTGATCGGCTGCTTCCGACACACACCCCTACCGGGGATCAAACCCACAACCTGGGCATGTTCCCTGACCAGGAATCAAACCAGAAACCTTTTGGTGTACAGGACTATCCTCAACTAGCTAAGCCACACTGGCCAGGGCAAGGTATCTGTTTTGACACAGTCTTTCAAATACCAGGTTGTGTTTTTCAAATTATTGTTAAATAAATGCCTAATAACCATGGGTGTTTCTATTTGCATTTAAAAATTGTGAATGATGCTGAAAAAGTTCCCGTGTTTATCAGTGGCATTTGCTATTACCAACTTTTCCTTCACAGCACTTAGCACAATTGTAAACATTTATGTCTGTGTTTAGTATGAGCGTTCCTTGTAGATAGAGATCTAGGAGGGCAGAAACTGTGTCTCTTTGTCTGCCATTCTAACACCAACAGCTAGTGCAGAACTACTCAAAGCACTGGTGAATGAATCACCTCTGCTTTTTTCCATTTACCTACTTGATTCATAAAATTACATAAGTTCTTTATATACATACACACGCATATTTAGTAAGAAATTTTTTTAGACTTTTTTTCTATTTTAATTTTCTTTATTACCCAGAAAGTTTATATTCTTTATATAATACAGGTCTGAAACTTTTCCTTTAAGATCAGAAAGATTTTAACTTTAAACATGAAAAAATTATTATCCTGGGGCAATAGCTGATACTCTATTCAGCTTACCACTAGCTTTTTAATGATTTGATTTTTATACTGAACTCTTTCATGTTCCTGGAATTCCAGTCTTGTGTGGGTATTATATAACAGTGCTTACTTAACCCCTTCCACCTAGATAGACAGAAGCAACAAAACTTCACGGCTTCTCCTGGACTCTGTGCAATTCCCGATAAATGCTGTTCTATCATTAGAAAAATAAATCATTCACAAATTCTAATACTTTATAATTAACAAGCTACTAGTGGTACCCTAATAAGTGATCATAATACTACATAAAACTAGTGTTCTAACCCTGTTGAGGGGTATTGGTGAAAAAACTAGATCATTCCTAAGCTAACTTTGCCCAATACTGCTATCTAATTAATGAGCACTTTATTCATACACATCTTACCTCATTTTTATCCTTGAAATAACTTCAAGGTAAGTAGCCATATTACCCCCATTTTACAGATGAGGAAAATGGCATTAAAGGACTTCAGTAACTGCCTGAAGCTACTGGACCTGTAAAGGTTAAGATCTATACACACCAGTCAGACTCAAAGACTCTGCTTTTAATTGCCATGCTGCACTACTGAAATTTTCCACTGTCCTGTTGCATATCATTTTCCCCCTGCTCTATTTTCTGGGTTTCAACAGTAAAAAATTCTTATAGTTTAATACTTTTGAAGTTCTTGGTTACCTTCTCCATGGTTGTCCAGGCCTGACGTAATGGAGTTGTAAAACAGTTGGGGAGTGGCCCACCTTCCCTGCAGATATTAGATTCAATTTCTAATCTTACAACATCATCAAATCCAAGAGGATGTGTGGCCTGCAGGGAGAAGTACCTATGGTAGAAAGACAGCCAAAGTAAAACCAAATTCCAGAGCAAATACAAGCAACTTCTGGCACCTACGCTAAAGAATCTTCTATGAGGGTTTCAGCCTGCAGACCTAGTACTATAATGGCCTTGCTGCAACTGTTACTCCCATTCCCCAAAAATACCTGAGTCGACTTGCTACCTCCCTACTTGCCTTCCATCATATTTAGTTCTTAAGATTTTCAAGGGCCAGGCTACAACTGAGGCAAAGAAATCAATCAATCACACATATTTAACCCATGGGAACCTATTCTTTGTTCAGCACTTGGTAGAAAGAAATGGATTGAAAAGACGGTTAGAGTCCTGGTTGGTGTAGATCAGTGGTTAGAGCGTCGGCCCTCATGCCAAGGGTCACAGGTTGGATTTCCAGTCAAGGGCATGTACATGGGTTGGAGGTTCACTCCTCACCCCTGGTCTGGGCACATGTGGAAGGCAACCAGTCGATATATCTCTTTCACACCCATGTTTTTCTCTCCCGCTCTCTCCAACCCTCTTCTCTTGCACTCTCTCTCTGAAAAGCACTGGAGAGAATATACTCAGGTGAGGATTTAAAAAAAGAGGGTAAGACACTGTCATTTCCCCTGGAAACAGAGTGGAAAAAACTCCTTGCACAGGATTCAACGAGAACACACCATTATAACCATGAGGCACACGTCACTGATATGTAGGAATTCAAAACAAAACAGCCCTGTGGGTGAAGTGCATGCATCTGATGTATGTGGACAGAACAGGACTTGCTGATCCGGTAGACGTGGGAAAAGGAGTCACCGATGAGAGCTCAAAGGTGGTTCTTTTACTCCTCACCCGAGGGTATGCTTTCATTGACTGTCCGAGAGAGATGATGGGAAAGAGAGAGACAGACAGACAGACAAACATCAGTGTGAGAAAGAAGCATGGATCGGCTGCCTCTCGTGCATGCCCTGACCAGGAATTGAACACTCAACCTTCTGGTGTACAGGACGATGCTCCAACCAACTGAGCCAGGGCAATAACTCAGAGATTTTTAACTTAACAGGATATAATGCAACTAGTGTTCTGGTAAGCTGATTGTAAAGTGGCTACTAAATAAAAGCATTAAAGGAGAAGAACACATATAGGTGTCCCAAAAACGCGTATACACGCACTTTGAATAATATAAAGGCAGTGTTTGTTAAAATACATTTCATTTGCAAAACTGAGCTATGAGCTCTTAAAGTGTGTATACATTTTTGGGGAGACACTCTGTTAAGTTCCCTTTCCAGCATTCTAGTGACTTCTAACTCCTGTCTAATATCAATATAGAAAGAAAGGCTGATAAAGCATGATTATAATGATGCATACATAAAATATGAAACAAGTTGGGACTGGTAAAGTCAAATTTGGCACAATGAACTTTTCTAAATGACAGTGCAGTAGGATACTAAACAGTAACTTCATTTAGAAATGGCTCCTGCCCAGCCAGCATGACTTAATGGATGAGTATTGACCTAGGATCCTGGAGATGGGGGTTCAGTTCCCAGTCAGGGCACATGCCTGGGCTGCAGGCTCAATCCCCAGCAGGGGCTGTGCAGGAGGCAGCCGATCAATGATCCTCTCTCATTATTGATGTTTCTATTTCTCTCTCCCTCTCCTTTCCTCTCTCTGAAATCAATAAAAACATTAAAAACAAAAGTCTATAAAAAAAGAAAAGGCTCCCAAAGTAAAAATGGGATCCAGGGGGAAAACAGGTCTCTGCTCTCTGGTTTCTGAGTTCCAGCCAGGACCTTACTAGTGCCAACCTTATGTTACAGCATACAAAAAACTTTTTTTCATCAGTATTTTCTTAACAAAAAGTGAGTCTTCTATCTTCTAACAAGTTCATAAATATTCCTCCATGATTTGAATTTTGGGGCACCCCAGACAAAATTTCTAAATGTAAACACCTGCTATTTCAATGAACATATAAAATGTTTCCTATATAATACTTTCCACAAATATACTAAAATAAACACTGGACAAACATGAAGCACTGCATTCCAGTCTAAGTGCTGCCACTAACTTGCCCTGTGACTTGGAGAAAGTCACTACCTCTCTGGGCCTTAGTTTTCTCATCTGCAAAATAGGAAAATCAGACTAGATCTCTAATCTGGCTATTCATCAGAATCATCTGGGGTGTGTTCTAAAAATACAGGTTTCTGGGTCTCACCTCAAACCTGCTGAGTCAGTATCTCTGAGAGAGGACTAGAAGCCCATCTTCAATCAGCTCCCGGGTTATTCCTACACAGACCGCCTATCCCGTGCCTGCAGAGCAATACTCAGGAACCGCTGACCTAAATGCTCTCAGCTCCTTCTAACTCCTGACATCATGGGTTCTTCTCTACCCTTGTTATCCTCTTAGCACTTACTTGTGGATACAAATAACACATTACTTTTTTTTTTTTTTTTTTTAAATATATCTTTATTGATTTCAGAGAGAGGAAAGGAGAGGGAGAGAAAGAGACAGAAACATCAATGATGAGAGAGTCATTGATCGGCTGCAGCCCGCAACCCAGGCATGTGCCCTGACCGGGAATCTAACCCCGATCGCCTGGATCCTAGGCCGATGCTCAACTGCTGAGCCATGCCCAGCTGGGCCACATTACTTTTCTTGACAAAATAAGAAAAGTTAAGTGAAGCTGGCCACAGCTTTATCACTTGCCTGATGCTTCAGTTCTGTTCACTGTAAGACTGTGCCACCCTCTCCTTTTCAGTGAAGACTAATGAAAAAGTATTATTCATTGAATAGTTAAATTGGTCAAGCAGATCTGCATCAGAAAACATGATACACCCACACAGATATTCAGAACCCCTTACAATATATTCCAATCACTCACATCCTTTAATACCCCATACCCAAGCCGCAATTACTTAAACTTAAGTTTCTTGAAAGTGCTACATTCCCACAAGTTTCTATGACTTTGCTTGTGTTAGAGCCCTCTGCCTAGAATGTTCTTTTCTGCCTTTTTTGGCGAGCAAAATTCAATTTATTCTTCAGAACCCAATTTAAATCTTTCTTCTGTGGAACCCTCCCTGAATTCCACGTCGCTGTCCTGCCTGCCACACACAAACCTCCCCTTTTCCTCCAGCAGAAAGCCTTGCTCTAAGAACCCCCAAAACGTTACACATACCATATGCAAAGCAGCTTGTATGCTGCTCCCTGTGAGTTCCTTGAGAGCAGAGACTGAGCTTACTCATCTCTATGTCTGAAGTGCATGCCAAACAGTCAGCAAAACTCACCTGTCATATAAAATCATGGCATCGTTCTGTGCTTCCTGCCCATCGTACTGGCCCTTTTTGGCAGCGAGCTGAGACTGGAAGTTGTCTGCTGCCAACCAGAACTGCAAGATATTCACTGCATCTTCTTTCTCCATGTACTAGGAAGGAAAACAGAAAAGAGGAAAATGAGGCTATAAACAGATTTCTCTCACCATCCCTAATTTATAAGCCCTAACTATTATAATATAGAATTTAAGCAAAAAAATCAAAACAAACAAAAAAAACCTAACAGGTCCATTTGTTCAGCAACTTACAGTCATTCAAGATTGAAAAGTTTAAAAATATTCTTTTAGGGGAAAAAAACAACAACTAGAACACAAACACCACACAGCTGGATGCAACTTTAGTGAACCGGAGTAAAAGTTACAATAATGGTGGATTAGTGGTTCCTCACTGGTAAACATGCGAAGGGTAAAGTAACCAGACCAAATCTTTTATACCTGATCATTTCCATCACTCCATGCAGCCATATTAACTTGAACAAATGCTGACTTAGCCCTGGCTGGTGTGGCTCAGTGGTTAGTATCAGCCTGTACACCAAAGGGTCACAGGTTCCATTCCTGATCAAGGGCATGTACCTGAGTTACAGGCTTAATCCCTGGCCCTGGTTGGGGCACATGTGGGAGGCAACCAATAGATGTGTCTCTCTCACATCAATGTTGCTCTCTCCCCCCGTTTCCACTCTCTATAAAAAAATCAATGAAAAAAATATCCTCAGGTGAGTATTAACAACAACAAAATGCTGACCTAAACTTGTGGCAAAGAGAGAGAGTAGAAAATAAATAATTCTTTTAATTTATTTTTTTTTATATATCTTTATTGATTTCAGAGAGAGGAAAGGAGAGGGAGAGAGAGAGAAAGAAACATCAATAATGAGAGAGTCATTGATCGAGCCCACAACCCGGGCATATGCCCTGACCGGGAATCGAACCCCGATCGCCTGGATCCTAGGTCGACGCTCAACCGCTGAGCCACGCCCAGCCGGGCGAAAATAAATAATTCTTGTGAAGACGTAGGGTGCAAGTGGGTATTTCAGTTACTGCTTTGTGAGACTGGGGATCCTCTTATCTCTACTTAATAGTCATGTGCTGCACAGCTGGCATGGCTCAGTGGTTGAGCCTCCACCCATGAACCAGGAGGTCAAGGTTCGATTCCGGGTCAGGGCACATGCCCGGGTTTCTGGCTCAATCCCTAGTAGGGGGAGTGCAGGAGGCAGCTGATCAATGACTCTCTCATCATTGATGTTTCTCTCTCTTTCTCTCCCTTACCCTTCCTCTCTCTGAAATCAATAAAAATAAAATTAAAAATTAAAAAAAAAAGTCATGTGCTTTGCAACAAAATATTTCATTTGCTGAAGCCTACAAATTATACTAAAACGTATGCCTCAAAGACATTAACTAAAGCTTTTTGCAAATGCTTTCCTGGGCAATCCTGTCAAATGGCTAACACAAAGGTGATGACAGTAGAAAAAAATTGACAACTTTTCTTTCTCTCTTCTGAAGTCTAGTCTGCAAATATTTGCACACTGGGATCAATTATCAAACTCTGTGGTTTTAAAACAGCTCCAAATAATTTAAAATATGCATCCTCTTAATTAGATTTTTCCAAATTAGAGTTATTTCACATTGCATTTTCACGGTCTCTCTTTAATCTGTCATCAAAGTTCCCTTGTCACCACATACAACTTAAAACAATAATATAATTATTTAAATCCAGCTGATCTTTTGGGAAATGATTTGTCTCTTCTACATTATTTTCTACAGACAGGGCCCCAGCATTTACAGTTTAGAAGCTGAAATGCTCTAACAGAGTATGAGAGGAAACGCAGACTTTACCTCAGAGAAATAAAAGAGTGCTGACTCACAGAAGAGAATGTCAGCCAGGTAAACAGTTCCACTGGTCAGCACTTCAATCTGGTATTTACAGAAATGGTGACTTCGCAGAAACTCACTAAAGTGCCTGCACATGGACAAAAAGGGACAATTTGAGGGAACGACCAAAGGAAAGAGCTTAATAGGGTAAACACTCTTTCCACACTGCGCCTCTTGCATCTGAAAAGCCTAGGTCAACACTGCCTTCCTTCCCATGGTGTTGGTCCTGATTCCTCCACCTGTAAGTAATCTCTCCCACTTCTGAATGACTTTGTAGCTCTCCTCTGATATTTAACACACCCTACCTCATATTACAGTAACAAAAGAACATGCCCTATTTCTCTTATTAGGCTGTAACTTCCTTCCAGGCAGGTACTGTATCTAAATATGCCTTGCACAGAGCACCACTTTCACAACTGTTAAATGAAAGAATGAATCTGCAGGTTATTTTTAAGGGCATGCAGCAGTAAAAAAAACAACAACAAAACTTTGGAGGCAGTTTCAACCAATTTCTGTATTTAGTAACATGGCATACATTACACTTAAAGCATGCACTAAAAAATTAGAATATCCATCTGAAGACACAAACTGTTTAAATAAACTAATTCTAATAGTCACAATCACCCCAAATGACTTCAGAATTACAAATTCTTTTAACCTAGGAAGTATTAACATTAAAATGAAAACGAGTTTTACTTTTAACAGAGTTCACAATTTTCATTTTTAAAAACACATTAACCAAGATAGTCTTAAAGTATGCCCGTAAGATCCTGTAAACATTCAAAATACTTAAATCCTCAAAGATAGTTTGTTTTTAGTTGTGTGAAGCCCATTCCAACACTAAACCCGAATTCTCAAGAATGCAGAATGTGAAAGTATGAAGCCAACTTACTCTTGCTCCATTGCACTGAAGACTATGGACTGCGCCAAAACAAAACAGTTGGGATCGACCTGTCCATCTTCTCCACAAATCTTTGCTGTAAAAGAAATAGTAAATAATTAAATTTCTATTAAATCCAAATGTATACATTGGATCAAAGTAGGAAATGACTGTAAAGGTATGTAAATTAGTTTTTAAATGGAAGTAAGAGAAAATACAGGTGAATAGCTGATCTTGAGGCAGAGGTCTTTCTAAGCATACACATACACAAATGCAGAAACCAAAAGATTTAACATAAAATTAATCCTATACATTAAAACACACCAAAAACAAAATAAAAAGGCAACTTAGGGGGAAATTTTGCAGCATGTATGACAGTTTCCTCTATGTATGACAGATTATCATTCATGTCAAGAGTTTTTTTACAAACTAATAAGAAACATCCCAAAAGAAAAAAGAGCAAAGGACATGAAAAGACAATTCTCAAAAGAACAAATATAAAATGGGCAATATGTAAAGATATGCATGCTCACTAGCAATCACATAAATATAATTAAAGATTAAAATAAGAAGGCACTCCAACTTTTGTCTAGTAAACATGCACAAAAGTGTTTTTCACAATCCATATGTTTAAACTGCTTCACAATACATACGTTTTAGCAAAGGCATGGGAAAATTGACACTAGTGAATATAAATTGGGAATATAAGGATAATACTAGGGAATATAAATTGGTATATCTTTCTGGAGGGCCATTTGGCAATTTCTAGCATAAGCCTTAAAAATGAATATACCCTTCCAATAAGCAATTTCATTTCTAGGACTGTAACTGAAAGAATTATGGATTTGTGAAAAGATTTACCTGTAAAAAAGTTTATCAATAAACAAATGGGACTACAGCAAACTAAAAAGTTTTTGCACAGCAAAGGAAACCATCAACAAAATGAAAAGACAATCCACTGAATGGGAGAACATATTCATCAATGATACCTCTGATAAGGGGTTAATATCTACAATTTATGAAGAACTTATATAACTCAACACCAAATAAAACACAAACAATCCAATTTAAAAAAGGCAAAGGACCTGAATAGATACTTCTCCAAAGGGGATATACAGATGGCCAATAGACATAGGCAAAGATGCTCAACGTCACTCATCATCACACCGATAAACATTAAGACCACGAGATATCACCTCCCATTGGAAAGAATGTCTATCATCAATAAATCAACAAACAACAAGCCCTGCTGGCGTGGAAGCACTGACCTACGATCCAGGAGATCGAGGTTCGATTCCTGGTCAGGGCACATGCCTGGGTTTTGGGCTCGATCCCCAGTAGGGGGCGTGCAGGAGGCACCTGATCAATGACTCTCTCATCACTGATGTTTCTCTCTCTCTCCTTCTTCCTTCCTCTCTCTGAAATCAATAAAGATATATTTAAAAAACAAAACAAAAAACATCAAGTGTTGGTGAGGATGTGGAGAAATGGGAACGCTTGTGTGCTGTTCGTGGGAATGAAGATTAGTGTAGCCACTGTGAACACAGTATGGAGTTACCTCAAAATACTAAAAATGGAACTGACTTATGACCCAGCAATTCCACTCTGGGAATATAACCAAAGAAACCCAAAACACTGATTCAAAAAACTATATGCACCCCTATGTTCACTGCAACATTATTTACAATAGCCAAGACCTGGAAGAAACCTAAGTGTCCATCAGTGAATGAGTGGGTAAAAAGCTGTGAGACATGTACACAATGGAATACTACTCAGCCATAAAAAAGAAGTTAACCTTACCCTTTGTGACAGAATGGATGGACCTGAAGAGCATTATGCTAAGTGAAATAAGTCAGAGAAAGACAAGTACCATATGTAAAATCTAATGAACAAGATAAACTAAAAAACGAAATAGAAACAGACTCAGACAGAGAACAGACTGACAGCTGTTAGAAAGGAGAGGGTTGCAGGGCTGGGTGAAAAAGTTGAAGGGATTAAGAAAAAAAGAACCCTCAGACACAGACAACAGCTTGATGATTACGAGGGAAAGGGGGTGGGCGAGGTCGAAGAGGGTATGGTGGGATAAATGGTGATGGAAGGAGACTTGACTTGGGGTGGTAAACATACAATATATAGATGATGTGTATAGAATTATACACCTGAAACCTATATAATTTTACTAACCAATGTCATCCCAATAAATTCAATACGAAAAAAAAGTTTATCAAAATGTTATTCAATAGGATTTAAAACCATAAAATATGCTAACACTAGGAATTGCCTAAATAAGCTACAGCACATCAATAAGCTAGTTAGCTAACTATTAAATATGGCTAGAAAAAACCATACGATCATGATGGCAGGTTTCACTTTCAGTTCATGACCTCAGTGGGACCGTAATGAAACCCAAGGATCGTACTCCAGTATCCTGGTCCAGTTACTCTCTCATTCTCTAGACGATACACGGCACCCCTTACCCTCTCCTTGAATGTCTTAACAGGTCTCCTATTCTCTGTGTTGATGACTTTGCGTCTTACTTCATTAAGAAAACAGAAGCAATCAGAAAGTTATTTCCCACTTCTCACCACATCTGTCCACCCACCTGCATCTCCCCCTCTCCCGTTTCTACAGACAACTGTCCTCACTCCCACTGAGCAACCCTGCCTGAGCACCGGACCTCACCCTCTCCTGCCTCCTTAGGGCTTCTTTCCTGCAGCAGCTTTCGCCCTCTCCCTGCTTCAGAATCTTCTCTGCTATTGCCTTATTCTCACCAGCTATTTACGCTGCACACTTGTTTGTTTGCTATCATACGTCCTATATGTTCATAACAATTCGCCTTAAAATGAAAAACAGAAACTACTGTCCCTTGACTTCAATCCCCTTTCAGCTCTTTAGAGCAAAATGCCTCATAAAGAGTTGCCCACACTTGCTATCTTCATTCTTCCTCCTACTCTCTCTTAAGCTCTATCACGATGGGAAAACTACTTACCCTCTGTGCTTCAGTTTCCTCATTTATAAAATAATAACTATATTTATGCTGCAAGGTTATTTAGAAGAGTAAATGAGTTTATCCATGGGAAGTACTTTAAATATTGTCTGGGACACAATAAGTATTCAATATATGTGTGAAATTATTGTTCTTGCTATAGTTGTCATTCAAATCAAAGTTTAAGAATTTGGTCTCATATATATAAGAGAGAAAGTTTGTAAGTGAGCTACAACCAGATATCTGAAAACAGACTAGGTAAGGGTATATAAAATTCCATGTTCATAAAAAATTTTCTTAATCAATAACCAAAAATAGGACTTTTCCCCCATAGCGTGAAGCACTGCTTACCTATGATATCATTTCTCATTGCTTCTGTAATTGGTATAGGTTTAGCAGCATCTGGAGATATATACTTGGTAAAAGTAGTCACTGCATCTTGTTCTATACCTGCAAGGGAAGAAGGGGAAACTTCAAAAATCAAAAGGCAACTTGAACTACTAATGGACTATACTCATCAACAACAGGGCTTAGTTTGCTGTGAGCCCAAGTACACATGCATGTGCACACACATACACACACAAACGTGTGTACACATAAATATTACAAATATAAACATATATAAAAGTATATTTAGGACAAAACAAGCCTCATCATAATACTGCTTTTTCACTGTTTGGTCTCTGGAGCAGAGGAATCATGTGAATCCCCCCCACTCCTCATTTAAGCTACCAAGCTTCTTAACAGCAGTGACACATGCATGTTCTCTTTCCAGGTCTTCGTCAAAGTCTGGGCTTTGAAGGACTTGCACAGCAGTGTAACAGTAGGAGCTCAACATTTATTTATAAATCTACATTTAAAATATTTTACAAAATAATTTAACATTCATGAATATTACGTTCATTTGACCTTTATAACCCTTTAATGAATCTCAAAACAATGAATCTCAAACTTTTTGTATTCTCAGGACTTTGATATCTTAAAAATTATTGAGGACCCTAATGACCTTTTGTTTATGTGAGTCTTATTTCTAGATATTAAAGTATTAGAAATTAAAAATGAGAAATACTGATTCAAAGAAAATTAATAATATTAAACCTGCTAGAAGTTAACACAGACAATTTTTTTAATGGAAAATAACTTTTCCAAACTGAAAAATTAGAAAAGGGCATTGTTTTACATGTGTCTTGATAGAAAACTGTTAGATTCTCATATCTGCTCTGGCATTCAATCTGCTGTGTTATTCTGTTTTGGTTGAAATATACTGTGAAAATCCTTGGAATTTCCTGAGTGGTAGGGGTGATATGAGCATCTTCTGTTATTCATAATAGCCCCTCCAACCACAAGAAAGTTTATACTAGTGAGGTACTGGTAGAATGGGGGCTGGTTGCCAAACCTCCAGGTAAGATAGAAAGGCTGTGGATCACAAAATTAATAACCAATGGTCAATAACTTAATCATGCCCACATACTGGAACCATAAAAACCCTCAATGAAGTGGTTCAGTTTCGAGGTTGGTAAATGCATCCATGTGCCAAAAGGGTAGCATACGAGGACTCCACAAAGACAGAAGCTCCTGCGCTTGAGACTCCTCTGGACCTTGCCCTATGTACCTCTTCATTTGGCTGTTTATTTGTATCCTTTATAAAGCGTTTCTCTAAGTTCTGTGAGCCATTATAGCAAAGTACTGAACAAGAGGAAGGGGTTATGAAAACACTCGATTTATAGCTGGTTGGCCAAAAGTACAGGGGACAACTTGGGACTTGCAACTAGAACCTGAAGTAGTGGTGGGGCAGTCTATGGACTGAGCGCTTAACCTGTGGGGTCCGCACTAACTCTGGGTAGTTACTGTCAGAATGAATTAAACTCTAGGATTCCCAGTTACTGTCTACAGAGAACTGGATAATTGCTTGCTGTGGGAAACCCACACATTTGGTATCAGAAGTGCTGTGAAGAGAGTATCGGGTTTCTTTTATACATACTAAGAAAATCTGACCTCAGCGATGTGTAGTTGAGAAAAGCAGTACTTTAATAGCTTTTTGAGATAATTATGGATATATTCCTCTTTGATACTACACCCAAACTTGACAAGCGGTAGTTTCTTAAAGGTTAGTTAGAATGTAGAATCTGAAACCCTATCAATTAAGTTGTATTCTGTTATATTAAAATCCACTGGTCTATCTCCCATACTTAATGGATCTTTTACTCATAATTTCTTAACATCATATGTTTCCAAATATTTTGGAAAATACTGGTTTACTGGCTTATGCAGATCTTCCAGATGTTGATATGTTACATCATACAGGGCAGAAGCATCACCAGTGATCGTATCAGAACACTAAGCTGTCAAAGCACACAGTGGTGAATACAAGTTTTCCAAAATTGCAATTTCCACTTAAAAAGCTTAAATTTTACCATTGGGCAACAAATGCTTCAGCTGTTCTCCTTGAAATAACAAGTTTACTTCATTCATTCCCAAGAAACTGTCTGTCAAATATCCAAGCATGAATAACCATAGTTTGTCAACAGTCATTCTTACAAGTAAAAATCGTATTCCATTTAAAAAGCAGCCACCTGAACTCACAAAAACAATCAACTACACATGCTTCTCCTTAACCAAGCAGTATGCTTCAGTATGCAGAAGCACTTCTGCACATTTCCCACATCATCACACATATCAGACAGGGTTTAGATTTAATAAAATTATCTACTTCTCCAAAGACATCCACGAGTAAACGTGGCACTGTTTTACTGGAAGTATGGGGCAGCAAACAGTGACTACTAGTACAATGTGGTTCAATGACAGCAGGTTTTCCCACAGTTGCTTTTCCACCACCATTACAAATGTCAACAGAGTAAAAAGACAAATAACATCTTAGAATTGTTGTGAAAATTGTTTTGATCATATGGACCCCCTTGAAAAAGTCTCAGGGACCCTCTATGGGAGTGCAAACCACACTTTGAGAACCTGTGGGTTAGCAGTATAGCTTATTCCTATTTTTAAAGAAAAGAAACTTATGTACAAAACATTAAAATGACTTGAGTCAAAAAGTGCTGGAGTGAGGAGGGGGCCAGGGCGAAGTAAGAGCATGGAGTTTTTGTATGTGATTAAAGTTAAGCTGTTATCAGCTTAAAACAGATTACTAGCCTGGTCAGTGTGGCTCAGTTGGTTGCATGTCATCCCATACACCAAAAGGTGGCGGTCAGGACACATACCCAGATTGTGGGTTCAATCCCGGTAGTGGGGTGTGCAGGAGGCAGCCAATCAATGTTGCACTCTCACATTGAAGTTTCTCTCTCTCTCCCCCCCTCTCTCTAAAAAAAATCAATAAAGCATCTTTAAAAAAAAAGAAATCAAATGATCAACTCAATAGATACAGAAAAAGCATATGACAAAACTCAACACTCTTCCATAATTTAAAACTCTCAACACACTAAGGCTAGGAGGAAATTACCTCAACATAATAAAAGCCATATGTGGAAAAATCACAGCTAACATCATAATGAATGGTGAGAAACTAAAAGCTTCTCCTCTAAGATTAGGTACAAGGCAGGATGGCCACTTTCATTACTTCTATTCAACATAGTACTGAAAGTCCTAGCTAAGGCAATTAGTCAAGGAAAAAAAACTGCATCCAAACTGGAAATAAAGAAGTAAAACTATCTCTATTAGCAGATGACATCAGCTTATATATAGAAAACCCTAAAGACTCTACGAAAAACAGAACTAATAGATGAATTAGTTACAGGATACAAAAATCAACATACAAAAATCAGTTGCATTTTTATATACTAACAATGAACTATCTTACTGAAAAAAGGAAATTAAGAAAACAACCCCACTTATAATATTGTCAAAAAGAATAAAATACATAGGTATAAATTTAACCAAGAAAGTGAAGATTTGTACACTGAAAATTACAACACATTGCTGAAAGAAATTAAAGACACAAATAAATGGAAAGACATCCTATATTCATGAATTGAAAGACTTAATATTGTTAAGGTGCCAATACTACCCAAAGTGATCTACAGATTCAATGTAACCCCTATCAAAATCTCAATATTTTTTACAGAAATAGAAAAAACAATCCTAAAATTCATATCGAACCGCAAAGGACCCAAATAACCACAATAATCTTAAGAAAGAATAACAAAGCTAAAGGCACCGCACTTCTTGATTGCAAAATACATTAAAAAAATCACAATAGTGAAAACAGTGTGGTACTGGAAAAGACAGACATATAGACCGATGGAACAAAACCACAGTGAGATATATTTCACATCTACTTGGATGGCCATTTATAAAAAACACACAAAAGTTAACAAGTGTTGGCGGGATGTGGAGAAACTGGAACCCTTGTACACTGTTAGTGAGAATGTAAAATGGTGTAGCTACTATGGAAAACAGTGATTCCTCAAAAAATTAAAAACAGAACTATTATATGATCCAGCAATGCCACTTCTGGATATTTATCCAAAACAATTAAAATCAGAAACTTGCTGCAATATTTGCACTTCCTTTTCACTGAGGTATTTTTCACAATAGGCAAGATATGGAAACAATCAAGTGTCCATCAATGGATGAATGGATAAACAAAATTATTATACATATATATATATAAATATAATGGAATATTGTTCGGCCATAAAACAGAATGATATCCTGCCATATGTGACACGATGCTAAGTGAAATAAGTCAGTAACAGAAGGACAAATAATGCATGATTCCACTTTCATGTAGTATCTAAAAGAGTCAAACTCATAGGAGCACAGAATAGAATGGTAGTTGCTAGGGAGTGAAAGGAAGGAGAAAAATAATTGCTGTTGACAGGTATATAAAGTTTCAGTTATGCAGGATGAGTAAATTCTAGAGACTTGCTGTACAGTATACATATAGTTAACAATATTGTACTGGACACTTAAACATAATCAAGAATTCATAGTAAAAAAAGTGTCGGAGTTAAGACTAAAGCTCAGGTCTAACTTCACAGCTGTACAGTACTGTCTTCAATGTACAGAGTTATAAATTTATAGATGTGTTTGGGGAAGGGAGCCTATGCTTGTTTGTGAATTAATTCTCTCTACAACCAGGGCCTTGATGAAAGGTATCAATTGTTAAGATTTGGGGGGACTGTTTTGCCTTTAGCTAGATCTAAAATAACCCAAGCTAATTCCATTCTTTCAACATTTTTTGTATAGACACTATAAACAGACTGCTAATCAGAACAAGACACTGGTTTTGTAGAAAAAGGCTGTCAAAAAGGCTAAAAATCAGTACTTGGGTAGTTTCTAAATTCTTGCTTTTCAACTATCTAAAAACAGTTGCCAATCCCAGACAAATGCTATAACAACTTGTACAAACGCATACTTATTTTCTGGGGGATTAAATTCATTAAAATAAGTAAAATATTGACTGTATTTTATTTCAAAAACACAGAATAAGGTTA